GGGGGGGGGAGAAGCAGCCGGATGAGGAAATATTTTTAGCATTGGGATTTTCAACAACTTGCACCTACTCGTAAATGACACACCTATATACTAATACATGTCCGTTAATTAATTAGAAAATGATCAGCGTTAAACAGCGGTAAGGTAGTTCATTGTCGACCGATCACTTACATTGGAGAATGCGCTAACATATTCTTTCAAGATCAGCGACCTGCCATTACTTATCTGAACTTTAAAATACGTGATTTTCTTGGCATTTTTCCAAGTAACATCGGTCCACTTTAAAAACATAGTTACGTGATTGTTGTTTCTTGTATCCCTTGTAAAACGTGCATTGATAGAGTCTTTTATGTGGACGGTTCCTTCATCTACTGTATAGTAAAGTGAAGAAAGTTTCAGTAATTAGACGTTTATGAAGGGCGACGTACAGAAATAGCGTTACAAATACGAATTTAAAATGAAAGGCAACAAGAAATATTTTTAGCTATTTCGAGGGGGGGGGGAGTTTTTCCTGATAATATTCTTGAAGTGCGGGACGATAGTGATGGAAAATGGCATATCTGTGCCCAGCATTAACAGGAGGGATACTTGTATATGCACAATCTATAAGATATAGATAGGTAAATGTAGGCTACTTGCATGAAATCGATTGCGACTTATATATGCTTTGAAATTAAACAAACACGCTTGTACCGGGTTTTCGATTGCGTCCAAAAATATAAATTCTTGAACCAAAATGCATTTACTCCAATGTTAACTTCACCTCATAGAAAGAAGCAGAAGCATTAGCGTTTCTATATTATTTGTTTGAACATACAGACCAATAAAATAGAATGTCCGCCATATTCGAATAATAGGAAAAAATTGTCAGGATGAACTATTTTGCCCCTTGTATGTATAGCATGACTAATTTTTTTATAATTATTTTAAAGTTTGAAATATTTGTAATTTTAATTATGCTTGGATTTTGTTGGTGGAAAGATACATTTGAGGCTTCATCCGACATACACTGACTGTAAGTTATGCAGCATGGATCTGCTTCCCCTAATCAAATAGCGCCAGGAAGCACAGTACGGAATAGACGTCGATTTGTATTTGTTTTACGATTTGTATTCGTATTTCTCGCTCATTTTAAATATACAAATTGTATTAGTTGGGAACATCGAAGGAGAAGGATCGTACATTTTTTGAATGTTTCAGATCTTATCTACCGTAGCATGGAATTAAATATTTATACATGTGACCTTGATTTCTTTTGAATTGTGTCCAAATTGACCGCTCACAATTGAGAACAATTGAGATAAAAATTTTGACAGCGAAATTTTAATTGCAAGTGGATATGCGGCTTAACGAGTTGATGAATGGTATGAACTGTTACCAGTGCCGTAGCAAGCTCGATAATTGGGGGGGGGGCAGGGGTAGATATTCATATATTCGTGTTCTGCGTTAATTTCTTTAGAAATCGATTGTTTTATGGTCTGTGAACACGAATATATGAAGATCGACCGCATCCCCCAATTATCGAGTTTGCTACGGCGCTGACTGTTACATGAAGAAAAACAATAAATTACGAACATGCAAAAAATTGGCAGATAATACATGAAATAATCACTGAATAGTACTGCATGGCACTGTGTTATCCTAAATATTAATTATAAGCGAAGAACACATAATATATAATTTCAATAAAATATATCAAACATTTTATACTTACATGAAGGGCATCCACAAATTTCATCACCACTGATGAGTATACATTCTGAAATTAGATTAGGAAACATGGCATATAATTACTATTTTTACTTTTTACGCACTATGCCAGTTACTAAGATCTTGATTGTCCAATAGCAGGTATATATAGATAAGGAAATGACACGACCAAACGATTAGCCATAGGTTGATACAGCAGTATGAAACCAAAAAACAAAAAGGAAAAATGAATAACAGTTTTTCTGGAACTATATTCCTTTCTTGTCAGATCCTAATACCGGTAGCAGGTAAATGAGTTTTCAAATTTAAATTTGTTGTTGTTATATGCTCAAAATTGGCTTCATGCACTGAAACTATAAACTATGAGACTAGACTAGATTCAGCGATAGAACTTTCAAACTATAACACATTGTGTGTCGGAAAATTAATTAATTAAAATGCAATAATTGAAATACGAAGACGAATTTGGACAATTGGTCAGGCACAATGGCAAAAAGTCGGGCAAATTTCTTTCCGCCGCACCCACTCCATATTTTTTTCTTCCCGCGTACGCTTACGTCCAACAAACAGCATGCAAGACCTTGAATAGTTTTGGCGTATGTTATTTATTTACAATTATCTAAGACGTGTTAAACATAACGTCATAATTACTATATACATATATATATATATATATATATATATACATATATATAAGTATAGCAGAGTTACAAGCCTTACCGGAAACCTAATAATGACCCCCTTTTCATCAACAGTCATTCGAATTATCCACCATCAATCATAAAGCAAATCCCGCTATCAGTGAACAAACGTATTTCGCAATTATCATCCGACCAGAATGCCTTTTCAGCCGCTGCACCCATGTATGAAAGGGCATTGAACCACAGCAACTATCATGCGAACTTGCATTATACCCCAAGCAACAACGGCAGTGGTAATAAACGAAGACAACGAAACATAATTTGGTTCAATCCACCGTTCAGCAAGAACGTAAGAACAAACGTGGGCAAGATCTTCCTCAGTTTAATTGACAAACATTTCCCACCCTCCAATTGCCTTCATAAGATATTTAATCGTAACTCGGTGAAAGTCAGTTACAGCTGCATGGATAATTGCAAGAGTATAATTTCTAAGCATAACACTAGAATACTATCAAGACCAAAATCGACAACCCAAACATCATCATCAACATACAGCGCCACATGCAATTGTAATAATAGCAACGAATGCCCTCTTCAAAAGAAATGCCTATTAGACTGCATAGTTTATAAAGCAGAGGTGGTAACCAACAATTCGGAACCTAAAGAATACATTGGCATGACGGGAAACACCTTTAAGACACGGTTATATAACCACAATAAATCTTTCAATAATGTTATATACAGGAACAATACGGAGCTCTCAAAATACGTGTGGAACTTAAAAGAAAAGCAGCAGGACTTCACGATTAATTGGTCTATCCTAAAACGAGCAGCCTCGTATTCCAGCGGTGGAAAGAGATGTAACCTTTGCCTCCAAGAGAAACTTTGCATTTTAAAAGCGGATAAGTCAAACTTGCTAAATAGAAGACGCGAGTTGTTCTCGAAGTGCGTCCACCAAAAACGATTCTTGGCCGAAAAGTTTGAACGTGCGCAAGCTCAATCACGCACGCAAACTCAGTCACGCAAGCAGCACAACGGATATCAACGTCATCAAGCAGGAAAAGTTAGTTGAACATACATCGTCGCCTGAAGATCGTAAAAACGTGAAACTCAGAGTTGCGACTTAATTAATTTTAAGTAGAAAGACAACAATTATATATATATATATATATATATATATATATATATATATATATGCCGCGCAACGAGCGCGCACTCATTATCTTTCGATCCAAAGGTAACCCGGGGCGAGCTGGTTTTGGCCGATAATTGAACAAACTGGTGTAGGCCTATGTATATGTTGATATGCCTACTTATTGTGGCTGTTTTTCTAGCTTTTCTAGTTTGAAAGAAAAAAAAGAATGGATGTCATAAAAATACGTTGAACTAAAAATATCTGGAACGGTACCTCCAACCGGAAATGTGAAGCCATGCCCAGGCATGCCCACTGTTTTCATGCCCAGTCTTTTCACACAACGGAAAAACGCGTGCTTTTTTAATTTTCCAAAGTGGGTAAAAAAAAATGCACTGAAACATCGTTTAAAACGACGTAAAATGCACCTACCAGGGCATTTTTTACAATAAAAACATCCTTCAAAACTCTAGAGTAAAATATTTTTAATTTATTTGTGCAGAATTCGTAAATAAATTTTCTTTTTTGAGAAAAAAACGTTGAGCGAGGAGTGGAGCTTGCCGTGGTCTAATCATAAGTATTTGTGTGAAATTCCCTAATTTGCTGATTCGTTTTCCAATTTATTCGTCTGAAAGTTAGGAAAAAAGGTATTCTAACAAAATCAAACTACTATCCACAGTTTAATTGTGTTTTGTAGTAGAGCATTTATTAAGTTTTAAAAGTACAAAATAAGAAAAATAAACATTAAAGTTTTTTTCGCGGATACGTATTTCATGTTGCAATTAATCACATTCGGCAAGAAATACACAGAAAAGGTGGTCAACCAAGGCAACAAAGTGATAGGTACAGACTAAATAAACTTATCTTGTTTAACAGTCAATGAAGTTGTTATATATATGTTTAATACGTTAAAATAAAGAATTACTTATCTGTCTCAAATTTCATCTATTAACGTTCCAGTCATTCAAATATGCACTTGTTGTCTCCAATCGGTTACCTTCTTCCTTGCAATTTTAGTCGGTAGCGTTCAAGATATGTTTTAAATACACTTTCAACACAAAAATATTGCTTGAAACCCTAAATAAACGACAATTTTCGATCCAATCGCCCGAAAAAAACACATTAAACTTCGCCGAAATGGTCTCGCTAGATTGTCTCGCAACACAAATGCGCATGTCTGGAGGTAGAACACGCGCGGCTGGAGGTAAAATTTTGCTTCATGCATCCAAACATAAGCCAATCCTATTGGAGGTATCGTTCCAGTTATTTTTAGTTCAATGTAAAAATATCACTATTAGCACGGAACAAAAATTGAATTTAGCGAAAATTATGCTGTCGAAAATTATGTTATGTATTGATGAATTTTTGTCATGGAATAAGCATATTGACAAAATTGCTAAGAAGGTTTAATCCGGAATTGGAGCGATCAGAAGACTCAAACCCTGTGTGGACCATAATACATTAATATGTGCTTATAACGCACTTATATTGCCCCACTTCGACTACTGCTGCGAAGTTTGGGATACTATTGGTATCACACTCTCTGACCGCCTCCAAAAATTACAAAATAGGGCTGCTAGAGTAATTACGGGTCGTAAAAACAAACACGGCCAATCTGAACTTGCTTTAAATGAACTAAACTGGAAAACATTGAAAGAACGCAGAACTCAATTTGTAGCAAGTCTCATGTACAAAATAACCCACGATCTCGCGTCCAAACAACTAATTGATATGTTTCAAAAGACGCCTTCGTCTCAACATTATAACTTACGAGGTTATGCCACAAATCTCTATCTGCCCAAATCTAAGACCGAATATCTTAAAAAAGGTCTTAGTTATAGAGGAGCAAAATTGTGGAATGGCCTCCCAGATAGACTAAGAAATAAATGTTCTCTTAGTCAATTTAACTTGGGTGTGCGGCACCTGGCCAGTTAGATAATGAGTTTATGAAATTTTATTTATTTGACCATAGTAGAGTAATTATAATTGTATAATTGTATCGTATAGTCTTGTATATATATATTTATCCTAATTGAGTGTAATGTTTGTATTTTTAAACCTACGCCCCTCTTGGAAATCAGCTCTTGCTGTAGGGGTTAGCGTAGACAAATAAAGTTTTTACTTACTTACTTACTTACTTGTCAAAAGAGAGAATTTTCACATAATGCGTATGCTTATGATTGTTTCGACGTTTACAAAAGTTCAAGCTCTTTATCAAGGAGATATCATGAATGAAATTTGAATTGAATCAAAAATCGTATTTGTCACGTCGTACGGGTTTTCCCACATCATTATAAGTACAGTTGTTAACATCGCGCTCGGTTTGAAAAGGGAGATTTTATCGCCTCTTTCCGCCGATAAAGCAAACGTATTATTATCAAGAAACACCAAACATTTAGTACGAAAGAAAACCATTTGATTGGAATTTCAGGAAGAAGATGAAAACTGATAGAGTGATAAGAAATCTGTTCTGAACCTTTTGTCTTTAGTGAAAGTCATTTCGGCCCGTATACCCATTTTCGTCAACAAATTACTGCATTCGGGTTAGTTTGTTTGAATATGATTTCTATATAGTTTGTATCCTGTGCTCACCCGTGAGCGAAATACTGTTGATCGATGCTGATCACTGCAAAATATTATAAAAAAATAATCCTCCTTAAATTCCTGACAATCAAAATTTCCAAAAATCCCCATGAAATCCCTCGATAATTCCTAGCAATCCCTAAGAATCTGTACAAAACAAATCGCCAAAAAATAGAATTTCACACAATCTTTGAAATCCCCAAAATCCGTACCTTTAAATGATACATTCCTCGGGAGAAATTGGATTATTTTGATCAGGCGTTGGCGACATACATTATTTACGCCAATTGAAAGTCAAGTTTAAACTTACTTGGTACGCGGAATATCCTGGTTCTTTCTCCTGCAACTTTTGTTGGTGAATAGAGATCATCCACTGCTGCCATCTATAAAATTCAAATTAACATTCTAGAATTCGGATAAAATAACGCCTTTCATTGTAAAACCATGATTCGCAGGTGGGCTATATGATTTATTTTCTTATTTTCAAAGAGTGATCGAGTTGTTGCTTCTTTTATCCGTTGCCAATATTCAATGATGACGTAAAATGAAGTACAAACGAGTGAAGTACAAACGAGTGGAGAAAGACGGAAAATTAAGCCCAGCTTATCGTAAATGAACATACCTTTAATTCGTACCAACAATTGTAATAAACGTTTAACTTTTGATTTTCATCAGAGCTGTTAGATGTTATAACCTAAGAGAAAAACGCTTTAATTTCTTTTTAATTCAGAAAGCCTTAGTTTTCCTTGAAAACCAATTTAGCGAATACATTCTAAACCCAATCACAATCATGCGCATTCAAAAGTGTGATGATTTATATATACAACCACGAATACTACTGTATTTACTAACACGAAAAGGATAACTAATAGGCACACGTACCAAATTCGAACTTGCTGTGACCTCCTTAATACGCAGACTCAACACGAGGTATTTAATTGGTCATGCACAGTTTTACCATGGTATATATGAGAACATCGCAAAACCATCCTCCGTTAAGTCATGGACTAGCTTTGGACGTTTAATAGACAGCAACTTTATATGAGAATCATGTTTAATTAAACCTCAGAGGATCTAGACTTCTTCAATCATTATTGAACATGGATCATGGATGTTGGACACATCCAACATGAAAATACTTTTTTTTCTGTGTTGGTGTTGTGTACTCAGGTGAATAATATGATGTTTGTGATGTTACTCTGAGTGTTTATCCACACCGGGCGAGCTTGAAAATTTGGAATAGTAGCCCAATGCTCTGCCAACTGAGCTACGCGGTCAGGACGGTTCGAGCAAGTGATATTTCGGAACAGAATCTAGTTCCTTCATACCAATGTAATCTAGTAATATGATTTTTTTCTGTGTTGGTCTTGGTGTTGTGTACTCATGAGAATAATATGATGTATTTTTATGTTACTCTGAGTGTATATCCACACCGGGCGAGCTTGAAAGATATGCCCGGCCACTGTGGGAATCGAACCTACGACCTTTGCAATACTTGTATTCCAAAGGCTAGTATTCCAAAGGTCGGGCTAAAATTCCAAATGTTTTAGGTTCGATTTGGGCTAGTAATGGGCTAGTATTCCAAAGGTCGTAGGTTCGATTCCCACCGTGGTCGAGCATATTTTTCAAGCTCGCCCGGTGTGGATATACACTCAGAGTAACATGACAAACATCATAAAAATACTTGTCATATTATGCGTGCATTCCGAAAATGGGTGATTCTGTATTTAAAGCACTTACAGTCATTTTATTTTGCACTATATTTGATATTTATAGCATGGAAATAATAAAATTTATTAGCATTTCTTTTCGTGTTACTGAGGAAACATGCTTCCGAGGCACAATGTTTTCAATAATGAAATACTTATGATATCAGAGCAACGATTTGGAGTTTTAGATTTTCTGATATGCCAAAAATAGGTTGAGGGATTGCTAAATGAGCATGTATTTCGAATAATTATCTAACAGTGATGCAATATCATTACGGTGAACGATTAGCGGATGCACTACCACTGATTCTTCATAATTTTTAATTCATAAATAAAGCAAATAAATTCCTCATTGGTGTGACTATTAAAAATCTACTATGGTGATTCTGACATAATATAGAGGCTCAGATTTGACTTCCACTTTCGCTACCGTTACTCTCACTGGCTTCGCACTCATCTGATTGGTTATACAATCGAATATATCAAACGCATCTAATCGGCAAACGACCTGTAATGGTAGCGGTAGCGCAAGATAGTGGAAATAAAATCTGAACTTCACTGTTGTATACTAGAACTACTTGCATGCAGCAACTCCCTCACATTTCCCAACAAAGCTGATGAACTTTGATGAATTCCACGCGAAGCATATCATGAATAAAACAATAGTTGTTGCCGTGGCAACATGCAAAGAACGTTATACGAAAATATTGAAATAATTGATTTTCGAAACCTAGAATATAGTTTCATGTTATTTGATCTTTCAAATTAATAGACTTCGACTTAATGCAAACTAATAAGGTATAACGTTTGGAGGCTTTACAGTGATGTTGGAGAAACGCATACATTTGTTTTGTCGACAAATAGTTTGCTTCAAAATACGGCAAAATATATTTTCTTTTCAGGCACAAGCTTGAACATAAACATCTTATTGAATTAAGAACGGCTTCAAAAATTTTTGAATTCAAATCGAAAAAAAGTTTTCGACTTTGTAAATTTAATTTCCGCAAAATTCAAATTAGCAAAAATAAACTGTTTACAGCAAGATACATCGATGCAGCAAGATATATCGTCCATGTCATAAAAGAGGATGACTTTGCATCGCTATGTTCGAGCGCAATTAGTACCCTCAAAGGGCCCAGGAGTGCGCACAGAACAGCGCTTTGCGCCGTTGGCTCGGGAAAAATAATGTGTTCCCAGATTCTGGTTATCGCTGGGAAATGAATCATACAGCAGTCAAATAGTTTGAAGATATGTCACATTTGGATATATTTTTGTATGGACCGATTGCACCAGCTGAACCGTGGGAAAATTTGCATGTAATAAAGTAATATGGTGACATTATATTATGCGTGGACTTTGTGTGACGTTCGAGGACATTGTTACGTTAACTGAAATGGGTCTATTATCTACATTCTGGTTTGAAAAATGGCTGATTCAATTCAATAGTGCTATATCGACTCCGGATTTCTGGATCACTGCAGTTGAATTATTGTGCTAAAAAACTCTCTGTGAAATAACCGCCCTAACAACCTCATAGTGATTTTATTCAGGAAGGAAGTAAACAGCACGCACTTACCGTATTCCCTTGTGCCGTCGGGTATTCTCCTGGATAGCAATTAGCATTCCTGGTCAGACTAGAAAGTTCTTGAGTAATATATTTCAGCTGCGTCTTGTCTGTTTCGGAGACTGCGAAACAGAATTGATATTAACGATATAATTACGCTATTACCGGCAGAATTTAAATTCATCGTTGGGGCAATATATACCGAATATTCCAGTAAGGTTTGGCAGGCTTATGGTGGAAGACAACAAAATGAGGGAACGATACGATTTCAGCTTGAGAAAAGGGACACTGAGCGTCAAACTTTCCACACGAATTGGAAAATCGCAATGTGGTTGAGTAAATGTAATTGATATTGGCAACTGTTCTAGCCTTTGCACAGCCTGCAAATTTTCGTACATCTCGAAAATGTAAAGCATCTCCAGGATAAAATGTTAAATTACCATTTCTACTATACAAATATAAAAAGCACTCAATTCTGAATGGTGAAGAATGAGACAATTTTATCTTCACATAAAAAAGGTACGGAATGAGAGATATACAACTACCTGAAAAATTTGAAGTACATGCAGGGTGTATAAAAAAATGAACAGAATTGAAATTGCTGCCAATTTCGTAAAACAGCTCGTGATATGAATTTTTTGTTATATATTGATTCCTTGAGTTTGTAATTACCGTACAAAATTTCCAGCATGAGCTCCACCTTTGAATTTACTATATGAGTAAATTGTTAAACACGTCCGAACTTACCAATACAATAATTTCCCAACAAATGTTGAGCCGTAGCCCCTAACACTAACCACAACCCCAACCCCAACCCCAACCCCAACCCTAACCCTTAATCTGACGCTAATCTAATATTCATTTGACGCTAATTCAATTTTTTTGAAAAATCACCCAGGAGCCTTCGCTTGCAACTTTAAATTTCAACTTGTATTTGTCAGGCAGTTGTATCCCTCTCAACTTTAGCTTTCATGTTATCTTCATTATAACTAAACTGCCCAAGTCCGTTTGAGATTATCTTAATTAACACAGTTTGTGAAAAAAAAAATGAAATTCAGTTTCCCATGAACGCAGTTCAAAACATTTTGCGCAGTGTTTCTGATTAAATTTTACATAAAATCAAAGCATCAAAGCCCACAAAATGCAAAATAACATACCCACAGTGTATATTTAGCAAATTGATTGTTGTATAGTTTAAAGTACAGTACTTTGTATATGTGCTTTGCCATTTTGTACAAATATATTCAAAAAGTTTTAACATTTTAAAATAATCGTTTTCTATGGCGACACACAACGGCAGCCTGCGTCCGGTTTTGGCTAATTTCTAATACTTCGTCTTTAATTTACGTTTTAAAAAATAGGAGAGCGGTGCAATATGCCGCCATTTTTTATATTTGATCGTTTTAAAAAAAATCCAAAAGTTGACCCCATAGTCCTTGTGCGAAATACAGTTCTATGTAACAAAAACACATTTATGATACGTACGTAGTGCAGGCTTCCAATGTAATTTGGATTTCAATTCCTCTTCCTTTTGATAAGGTTTCTGCGTTCTCAATTCCAAGCGAATATTTTTTACACCACACGGAAGTTTTTTGCACGTTTCTAAAATTTAATTCCAACAACTATAATTCGTAACTTGTTAGCATTTTTATCATTGCGCATGCATACTAACACATAGAATGGCCAATCGTAGTGACGAACGCATCTGCCTGATAACTCGCGATTTATGACTACCTATAGAGCATGACTAGCTAAAGCATAACAAAGGAAATGGATATATGGCTGTAAGAAGCACTTCTTACTTGGCACACTCCGTTTGTTGGGTCTGATAAAATCGATTGTTTAGCGTCAAAATACCTTTTGATAAATCTAATATATACTGTGCCTTTTTCCATTTTTCCGTCTAGGGTAGGACCTATATAGATGTTTGAACGCGTTTAACTTAGCACAGGTAATCTCAACTGTTTTAGGGTAAATTAAAATGACCATGGCGGTCAACATGGCATATGTGCCAAAACCTGAATCCGGGAAGAAAGTCCACAAAATGATCTTGACCCCGCCCTGAAACGGTAGTGTTGACATAGCTCTAACTTCCGAAAACAGCCTTTCTGAAGTGTTCATAGTGTTTACAATGGTCGCTTTGTTGGGTGGTTAATGGAAGAAAAAATTTGTCTAAGTATAATATTTTACCAGAAAATGACCATGCACCACCCCAGGTAAGTTGCTAATTATTCTTAAAATAAATAATATGCGTACAGAAATTAAATGTTGTTATTTCCTAAAAAAAATATAATGGACGAAAAACAATGCTTAATTTAATATAATTATTGTGGATTTCATAAGAATTGTCATTGTTTTCTTTAAATAAATATAATACATTTTATTTCACTCACCCTTCACGAAAACACGATTTTAAGCTATATTTTGCCGCCTTGTTTGCTTTTTATCGCCGAGTCTCGCAAATATCATCAAGTTGTTGTACTTTTACATATTGATAAATGGCTAAAGAAGATTTCAGCCAAGTTTCATAAAGTTGTGAAACAGTGCAGAATATTTTATCTCCGATATTGTGTCCTTCGATATTTCGTCAAATTGCCGTCATTTTAATGGCTCTCCGCTTCTCTGCTCGATAATTGCCACTTCTTCGTTTTCATATGAATTTAGATTACAGTATCCAAGAGTTCTTCATTGTAGAATAGTCTCAATCGAAAACTTGACAACTTAAGTTGCACTTGGAAGGGGAAAACCGCCAGTATACCATTTAAGTTCAAAATAAAAAACAAATCATTTGAAAGTCACGCGCAATCTTTGCGAAAACTTCTCGTGGACACATGACGGGGGGGGGGGAATATTTTCGCGAAACGTTTGTTCGCCACCACCGCGCAACCTAACTAAATGTATGGTATTTATTGTATTTTTATGATTTACGATAAAACTACGCAAGTTTTGTTATCAAAGTCATGTTCTGGTCAAGTCGGTTGGCGAAGGTGAACATGTTGTTCCGATTGATAGTATCGGATATCGGTACTGAAGCCTTTTCGAGCTTTTCCATGACATATGCTGTGTGAAGGGTTTGGCCCATTCCATGAATTTGAGATAGAGAAGTAACAACCACCTGTTCTATCACATTCTGTGTATCGAGTGCCACAAGCTCCTGACGTGTGGCAATAAAAGTGTTTCCAATGTGCACTACCATATCGACAAACGATAGCACATCCTTGCGAAACTTGACTTGCATGCTGTACCCTTCCTCGTGATGAGCGGTGGATGAAGGTGGTGGGTTGTAGACGGCTTCAAACTCTTCAACTATCCGCGCACAATCAGGCCCGGTCAATATGAACATTGCAAGGGCCTCTGCATTCTCATAAGAGTGCAACAGCTCCACCATGTGCCTGTAGGCTTTTCTTGGACTGTTCGTGGGCTTGATCTTGGGCGATCAGGCTGAATTTTTTAGCAGACTTTCGTGCCACAAAGTTTCCCTTCATGAATTCAGCATATACGTCTGGGTGATTCTTGGGTAGCTCAACCATGTCGCGTACTGTACTGGGAGCCAGCGATGATTCGTTAGCTCAGTCCTCTAAGCGTTCAGATGTGGTCCCGAAATTAAGAATTTATTAAGCAGTTGGGGAATGTTGAAATGTGCGTTTGCAATCCTAGGGGGTAACACGTTTTCCATTTCCTTTTGACATATTTTTTTTCTGAATCAAATTTTGTTTTTCAAATTGGTAGGTTTCAGGATTAAGATTTAGTCAATTAAGGTGGTTTGGTGGGTTTGAGAATATTTCTGCAAAATACATGCAGTAAACAATTTTTGTTTTTTTTCCTTTCGCAAAACACTGTATTCAGTTAGTATTCGATATTATGAAGGCACAGGAAAATATACTTCTACAGCTGTTTTTTAAGGTTATATTAAAAATCAATAAATCATTATTCATAAAAAGCATAGGAGACTAATGGAAACCATAAAGCGTGTTGTTTAAGGCCTCTAGTTACATGTAAAATTGTTTAAGTTAAAACACTTCTAAAACACTTGTAAAAACAGAACATTTGTAAAAAAACACAAGAAAAGTTGAGAATATACGGCTAAAATTTAATTCAGAAACATAAAAAATTACCTTTTCGTGTTGATCTTGACCAAAAACCGTTGCCATAATATCAAAAATGAGATTGTCTGATCCAGAAACTCCTTAAAAAGTGGTATTTATCACCATTCTTGCCTTTTTGGTTAATGACTATGATTGACCATTAACCCCGGAGGCGGCCATATTCGATTTGGCCAATAAGACGGTCCCGGGGGGGGAGGGGTGTCGACCTCGGCGCCCATAAAAAAAATCGAAAGAGTATGGTATGTACAACATCTGGGGCAAATTTGGTCCTTTTGGAAGAATCTGAACCAAACAGTCCATTTGATACCCTTACAGCCCGGAGTAAAAGAAAACAATGACAATCCTTATGATATCCACAATAATTATATTGAATTAAGCATTGTTTTTCATCCTATGATAATTTTGTTTATGAAATAAGAACATTTAATTTCTGCCAGGCATAATTGGCAATTTATCTGCTGTGGTGCATGGTCATTTTCTGGTAACATGTTATACTTAGACAAATTTCCCCCTCCATTAACCACCCCTAAAAGCAACCCTTTTGAACACTATAAGCACTTCAGAAAGGCTGTTGCTTTTTGTTTTCGGAAGTTGGAGCTATGTCGACACTGCTGTTTCAGGGCGGGATCATTTTCAGGACTTTCATCCTGGATTCAAGTTTTAGCACATATGCCATGTTGACCGTCATGGTCATTTTACCCTAAAACAGTTGAGATTAACTGTCCTAAATGAAACGAACACAAACATCTATACAGGTCCTAGACTATCCCTTTCTTTTTATTTCTATTTGCCATTGGATAATCCTGACTTAAAAGAGTGTCAGTTTTTCACTTACTTGTTGTATTAAAAACATTACTCCAGTTGCTATATGGTGAAGATTTATTCAGTTGCATTGCGATTACTCGGAATTTATAACCAGTATTCGGTTCAAGATCTTTAACAGCATATGATGTTTCGTTTGTCTAGTGGGTAAAATGTATTATTATATATTATTGTCAGAACCAATGCAGGAATTGTACATGCATGGAAACGGGGTTGTCGGTCGTCATGGTAAACACAGAATTATAGTCCAATATCACTGTTAGTGCGGAAGAAGTCGTGAACAATTTACGCAATTTAGATGTAACCAAGGCACATGGCCCTGACGGAATTCACCCTCGCCTATTAAAGGAATGTATTGAACAAATTGGACCAAGTTTGTGTGCGTTATTCAATCATTCTCTGAACTGCGGCAAAGTACCCATAGAATGGAAGGCTGCGAACATCACATCTGTTCATAAGAAGGAGTCAAAAGAAGTAGCTGAGAACTTTTATACTATCTCGCTGTTGTCGATTGTTAGCAAGATTCTCGAACGCTCTGTATGCATCAATCTGTACAACCACATATCCCATCTAATCGCTGATGAACAACATGGCTTCATCAGAAACCGATCGTGTGTGACACAACTTCTGTCTGTTTTCCACGCTATCGGCAAGAGCTTGGACAAGAACATCCAAACAGACATTCTATATTTGGACTTCGCCAAAGCATTCGACTCCCTTGACCATGACATTCTCCTTGCCAAACTAAAATCATATGGGGTAAATGGAAACTTGTTAAATTGGTTCACCGACTACCTGCACGGCCGTGTTCAAAGAGTCGTTGTAGATGGTGCACAGCAAAAAATCATTTTCTTATTTTAAGAAAAAAAAAACTTGTTTTAAGAAAATTTTCTTGAAATAAGAAAATATTTTCTTGGGAGAATAACAAGAAAATTTTCTTAATAAGAAAATTTTCTTAAGAAAATTTTTCTTATTAAGAAAATTTTCTTGAGAGAAATTCCTAAATTGAGAAAATATTTTCTCATTTTAAGAAAATATTTTCTCAAATCAAGAAATTTTTCTTAAAAAGAATTTTCTTATTAAGAAAATTTTCTTGTTATTCTCCCAAGAAAAAAAATTCTTGAAATAAGAAAATTTTCTTAAAATAAGAAAATAATTTCTTATTTTAAGAAAATAATTTCTCAAAACAAGAAATTTTTCTTAAAAAGAATTTTCTTATTAAGAAAATTTTCTTGTTATTCTCCCAAGAAAAAAAATTCTTGAAATAAGAAAATTTTCTTAAAATAAGAAAATAATTTCTTATTTTAAGAAAATAATTTCTCAAAACAAGAAATTTTTCTTAAAATGAATTTTCTTATTAAGAAAATTTTCTTGTTATTCTCCCAAGAAAAAAAATTCTTGAAATAAGAAAATTTTCTTAAAATAAGAAAATAATTTCTTATTTTAAGAAAATAATTTCTCAAATCAAGAAATTTTTCTTAAAAAGAATTTTCTTATCAAGAATGTGTTGTTTGGGTGTTTATATGTACAGGTACTCAGGTGAATATTGTTTTTGACGTTACTCTGAGTGTATATGCAGTTAGCAGAGCATTGGACTAGTGCCCCAAAGGTTGCAGGTTCGATTCCCACCATGGTCAGGCTAACTTTTTAGCCTGCCGGGTGTGGATATACACTCAGAGTAACATACAAAACATCAAATTATTGTCAATTTATACAAGTTCTTTTTTCAGCTGCACTGTTGCACAACTAGGTGTAGTTCTGATTGCACAGGAATGTGGTGTAGCAAATTTAAGTTCTCCTGAAGACCTGAAGCAGTAATTTTTCAACTCTTTCCACATGACAAGCAATATTACAGTATCTGACAAACCGTTTGTTCAAAGTCCACAGATTTCTTTATAATGCACATTAAACACTGTTCCAAACACATCATGCAAATGCCACTGGAGATCCGTCATATATACATCCTTATACAGCTAGTAATCTGTAAAAGTTTACTTACATATTGAAAATGTAAGCATCACTCTAAGTATTATATGTGGTGTATACAGAAATATAAATGAATTTATTAGCGATTTTCAGCAGACTTTCCTGCTTGTATTCGACTTTTCTGCTTTGCTTGGGGGACAACCTTAATTGAAATAGCTATATATATACAAAATTGCAAGAACAATAGACCTGGAGACTTGCTTGCTAATCTGAATCACTCCTCAGTTACCTAAGTTAACTAGATTAAAAAGCATAGACGGATTTTGTGGGGGGGGGGTGCTACCCCCCCCTAATATTAGCTATAACTCCTCCCCCAAACAAAATGACCACCCCTCCAAAAAACTATTTCAACACCCTCCCCCCCCCCAACATTTGGCATAATAAAAAATAATTAAATAGTCATGCAGAGTGTTGATGATATAAAATAAACGTAGGAGTACACTCAAATAGAAAAAGACAGTGCATTCACTGGTTTATTATCTCCCCTGAATAGAGTTTGCAGTGCCTTCTCATGCAAATAGCTTGCTCGGAAGGAACATTTGGATTTTTTATGAACATTATTTTTAGTTTTTAATTCTTTTAGGAAATAGACTTGCCTAGATTTAATCTTTATGCCCCAATTATTATTTACATTGGAGTTGCATCATAAAATGTATTCGGATTCAAACGACACAATGTCAATGACTTTATAAAACTGGTAAAAGCATATTGTGTATTGGCCTATTAGGTTCATTTTACGTTTAACACTCCCAAGTCTCATCAGACAATCGGACATGCCAAATCCATTGATATGACCACTTCAAAAAACTTTTTCAAAGCTAGGAATCATGATTTTTTTAAATTTCTCCAGGGATACTTTGTTTTCTGCTCTCTAGACTCCCCCTCACATCTCTAGTGCTCCACCTCTAGAATATAGACCTTACTGGGGTATGGTAACACTTTGTGATGCTTCAGTCACCTGCTCACGGCTCCCCCCCCTAAAATTTCTGGCACCATGCACCACAGTAAAACATATGAAAATCTGTCTATGTTAAAAAGACAGACGAGTATTAATTTTATGACTTATTATTTATAATATAATTAATTTATAATATAATTCATTAATATAATTAATTTAATATTATTTATAATATAATATCATTCTTATCTAATACAAAGGGTTTATTGTTTAATGTTATAATCGGCCAATCACCTGTTCATATTGGTAGAAGACGAATGAGGGAGTATTAAACTACATATGTTTTATATAAATTTTATTAAGCAGAGACATGGCTGTAGGCAGATACAGATGTCCTGGATTCAGTTATCATTTTCTTGTGGCAAGTGCCCAGTAGACTATTATCCCTTATTCACGCACCAAAGCTGCAATATTAAGAAATGTAATAATTTGTCCAATACCATGTCACACAGTTACTGACAGTATAGTTTACTTCCGGTTGCTGTTCGTGGTTCTTTAAACCAGCTGTACAATGTATTTATATGGAAGCTGGGCTGGACCGCTTAGTGGGACAGCCCGGTAAGCAAGATCTTACTGCATTAGGTATATTTATCTAGAAAAAATTATCATGTGTTTATATGGATCCACAATCAGGCTGGCTCTGATGCCACAATGTTGCTTATTGGGATGAAAATTTATCCAATACCATATCACACAGTTACTGACAGTATAGTTTACTTCCGGTTGCTGTTCATGGTTCTTTAAACCAGCTGTACAATGTATTTATATGGAAACTGGGCTGGACCGCTTAGCGGGACAGCCCGGTAAGCAAGATCTTACTGCATTAGGTATATTTATCTAGAAAAAATTATCATGTGTTTATATGGATCCACAAGCAGGCTGGCTCTGATGCCACAATGTTGCTTATTGGGATGAAAATTTCTCCACATATCATGCACTCACAAGCAGGCTGGGCCAGGATGAATGTTCAAGATGCCGAGCTGCAACCTATTTTTAACAACTGTCAAAACAATGTCAACATAACAAAATTGTCCCGGCGACCAGGATGGCATTTTCTCATATAAACACAATCTTGAACTGTTTTAGTGATGCACCGATATATGGAAATTCACAGATATTCTGATAACTGATAATAAAAGACCAATACTTTGCCGATACCGATAATACATGTCATTTCACGAAATTCAAAGATGACTGATACACCAATATGGATATCAGTACATCAGTAGGCGAGTTACCCGGCAAGGTGAGTTACTCACTCAGGCAGGACAAAAAAGCAGTCTATTTATATGAAATCAAGTTACCCCATTATTGCTGCGCAATGACAAAATACAAACACAATTTGGATCATTCAAAAGGTTTAAAAAACATGATTACAAAATAGGCAAGAATAAGCTGCTAGAAATAGAGGAAAGCTATAAACAAACCTAATGATTTGTATGTATTTTTGGGCTATTATTTTAAATGAAAGGCATATACATTCTATCTAGGGTTGCAGAGTTTCCCGGGTGAAGTATAGTAAGTCGGGAAACTAAACATTCTCTACAGTAGCCAAGTTATCCGGCAAGGCAAGTAGGAAAACCCTCTGGCATTAGACAGAGTAAACAATAAAGTAGGATGCAATTCAGTTATTCAGCTATCTATACACTGAAAATATCAGATTAAATGCTGTCATTCTCCTGTAATTCCAATCCTTATTCAAGTATTAAAATGCTAACAGATCTTCAAAAACATCCGTATGTATAATATCTTATTTCATATCACTATATATCCTTGAGTCTTGACATTTGCATGAAAGGTCTAGCAAACTGCCAATGTCAAAGGCAATTTAGTATTATCAAATTGTTAATATTAGTGCGTAAATTAGTATGGAATTCACAATAATAGATATGAATTTATATTTTAATCTTTCGTCCCTTGCCTGAAAGCAACATTTGCATGTTTTATATGCAAAACAAACGCGGCAAATTCAAACATTCAATGGAATATTTTCACACTTCGCTCAAGTAAACAGTCACAATCACTGCATTATTTCGCAATGAATCTGTTTAAATAACAAGTCAAATATACAATTATTCTTACCTGTGGTATCTGAACAACATTTTAAGGACTTTCTGATGCTTTTCCAATCGTTATTTGCCATTTAAATCGCCCTTGAAGGCGCTCATGGATATTTATATAAAATTTTTCACAAAAATGTAAA